GTTTAGGGGTTTGGGGTTTAGGGGTTAGGGGTTTAGGGGTTTAGGGCTTGAGGGTTGAGGGTTGAGGGTTTAGGGTTTAGGGTTTAGGGGTTTAGGGGTTTAGGGTTTAGGGTTTTAGGGGTTTAGGGCTTGAGACTTTAGGGTTTGGGGTATAGGGGTTTAGGGTTTGGGGTATAGGGGTTTAGGGTTCAGGGTTTAGGGTTTAGGGTTTGGTTTATACGGTTTTAGGGTTCAGGGTTTAGGGTTTGGGGTATAGGGGTTTAGGGGTTAAGGGTTTGGGGTTTAGGGTTTGAGTTGTTTTCACCTGGATGCCCGTAATCCAAAGGCCGTGAACACGACATGACGCCGCCGGGGTCCTGTTTTGTGGGAAGGGCCAGGTAAGGGCGAAAGCGAGGCTTACAACCCTGAAGCATTAAACCGAAACTCATAGAACCCCAACCAGCCCTAAACCCTGCACACTAAACCCGAAGAGCCCGAAAACCCCAAAGCCCGAATGCAAGCGGAGGCAGCCCCAGAGGCTGTGTGCGAGGCGATCCCACAGCCGCAGACGCCGCAGGAGGCTCGGGGCTTGCGAGTTTAGGGCTAGGGGCTTGGGGGTGGGGGGGTGGGGGGGTGCGGGGGGGTTTCATAAAGGGTTCTCTCGAAGGGTTCCATTAAGGGATTTATAGGGTTGAGGGTATCGGGTTTAGGGATTAAGGTTTAGGGTTCAGGATTACGGCTTAGGGTTTAGGACCTAGGGTTGTCTGGGCTCTTTCCATCTGACGGGCTTTGGGGTTCAGGGTTTGTTCTTTGTTTTTTGGGTTTAGGGTTGAAGGTTTAGGTCCTAGGTAGTATCAGGGAGACCCCTCAAAGGGGACCCTTCTTAACCCTACTTGCGGCTCTCTTAAACGGGACCTTATTGAGAGGGTCTATATCCCCAAGGGTCCCCCTAATCCTTACTCCCATTAGGGTGTGGGGGTTTATACAGAACGGGGGCTTTCGGCTTGCCGCGGAACAAGTTTTTCTTGAAGTGGCATGTCTGGCCATCCTTTGGCGAAAGAAGGACATACAACATCAGTCAGTATCAGGGTTCAGCCAAGAGGCTTCAGGGTTTAGGATTTAGGGGTTTTGGGTTTTAGGGGCAATGTAAAGAAGGTGTGGGTCTCGATGTCTTGGAGATGCACTGTGGCCGGCCCGGAGATAAGCCTGAAGGATTTAGGGTTTAGGGTTGAGGGTTGTTTCAGAACTTGGTGTATTTCTGGTGACTTCGGTGTTTTCCTGGTTTGGGTCCAGAAACTCACCGGCTTCAGGCAGGTTTGGGTATCATAACCTCTATGTAATGCCAAAGCTAAACCCTAAACCCTAACGCGGGAGGAGCCTCCAGAACAAGCAGATCTGTCCGAGAACCTGCCCCGGCACCGGACCCTTAGGGGAGAGTGTTTTTTGGGGCTTCTTCGGGCCACTCGGATTTAGGGTTTAGGGCATAGTTTCGAGTTTAGGGGTTTTAGTTTGAGGTTTTCCAGCTTAGGGCTTACACTTGTGCAGTTCGAGTCCGGTTTTGGGATGTGGGGTTTAGGGTTTCGTGGTAGCGTACCTGCACCAACACTGAAGCAACTCAAAGAATCAGATCAGGTGAGTGTGAAAAAACAGAGAACCAGTCAAAGACATGCAAAGCCGGCAAGTGCTAATTGAGTGGAGCTTCTGCTGTGGAATCCAGAGATGTGGGGCGAGTGAGTCTTACAAGGATTGTTTGTATCCGGTCGACAGCCTCGGGTAGTTGTCAAAATTATGGTCCCTTTGGGGGTACCCTAAATAATAGGTGCCGTATTATAATGCGGACCCAAAAAGGGACCATAATTTTGACAACCACCCACATGTTTGCAAAGCTTCGCTGTAGCTGTCCGCCTTACGCCGCACCCCAGCTATGCAGCTACCCCCAGGCCGACAAAACCCTAAACCCTAAACCTCAAACCTCTAAACTCTAAACCTCTAGACCAGTATAAGATTTGGAAGGAAGATGTAGGATGTGGTCCGGAAGCCATAGATCCTCCCCGCAGACCGATCTGTGTGCATCACGGTTCCCCACAGAGCCCAGTACCCCTTAATTAAGGAATATACCTGAAATTATAAGTAATAAGGGTCTGCATACTACGATTTAACTATATTCCTTAATCAAGGGGTATCGGACTGTATAAGGGTCTTCATATTGCGATTTAGGCTATATTCCTTAAGCCTTAGTCAAGGGTTACTGGACTCTCTGGGAATGTATCCCATCGGACCTTGCCGAAAGGATACTATCAGCTCCTGCAATGTCAAATCTTCGGCAGCGCAGCCGGAACTTAAGGACACCCAGCTGAGAGGCCTAGCGATTCAGACGTTGGCGGAGTTGTTGTCTTACCGCGTTTGGGGGTTGAGACTTTTGCCGGGGGTTCAGGATCGAGGGGAGTCGCCAGTCTAATTAGGCCCTACTTGGAGGGTCGGTAGACTTAGTAAGTAGGTATTAAGTAGAGTTAGAAGTACCCGAAAAGGGATCCTAGTTGGGGTTATGGTACTTATAAGCCTATAAAATAACTAGTTACTAAGTCCCCCGACCCTCCAAGTAAACCCTAAACCGTGAGGGCTTTGACGATGGGGCAAGCTGTGTGGCCGTCAGGCTTCTTGCAACGGCGTTTTTTTAACCCTAAACCCTAAAACCTAAAGCCAAAACCCTAAACTCCCTAAACCATATAACCTGAAGCCTGAAGCCTGAACCCTAAACCCTAAAACCTAAAGCCTAAACCCTAAACCCTTTAACCTAAAGCCTAAACCCGAAAAAGCCATGTACCCCAGAGCCCTCAGATCCCAAAAACCTTCACCCTTAAAATTCGTCCCAACAGTATCCGACCTCCTAAACCCTAAACCCCAAAACCCCTAAACCCGAAACCGTCCACCCCCGAAAGCCTTCAACACATGCACCCGTCGAATGGAGGACTGCAGTGAGGAGGTCTGTGTCCTTCCACAAGGTCCCCTTTGTGGTGTTTAGGTTCGGTCTCCGGGTAATTTGGGTTTAGGGTTTAGGGTCTTTGGGTAGCACATCACATTGGCCGGGCGAGCTCCAATCAAGCCTGTGTAAGAAAGGGTCTTTGGGTAATTTGGGCATAGGTTCCTGCAGTTTAAACCCTAAACCCTAAACAGAGGGGTAAGGACATCGCCTGCTTCGGAGAGGCTCACCCCAGACACTGTGGAAACAGGCCCTCAAAAAACTCTAAACCATAGGCTCCTGCAGTTTAGGACATTCATGGGCTTTGCACGGTTCAGGGTTTAGGGTTTAGGGGTTTAGGGTTTAGGGTTTAGGGTTTTTGGGGTGCAGGGATCCGGGACTTTGGATTTCTGGCAGCAGTCGGGCGGACGGCTTAGTAATCGGAGGTTTGGGCTGCAGGGTTCAGGGTTTACGGCTCGAGGACTTTGAGTTTGAGGTTTAGGGTTTAGGGTTTAGGGTAGGCTCTTTCCCACTCGAGGATGAGGGTAGACCGCGCTCGATCATCTGCGGCGGTTAGATCAAGCAGGATACATCAGATCCAACCTTTTACTTAGGGTTTAGGGTTTAGGGTTTGGTAGCTTAAATTAAAACTCCATAACACACTCATAGACTCAAGTGGTGTTGTATCGTGACATACGATTACCATGCGATGCACTGCATTGCCCTCTGGTACGCTGTGTCGGACTGTTTATCTCATTGACCATCTCATGCTTCGGGACATGAAAATATGGCCGAGTCAGGGCTAGTAGAAGCTGAAATCGACAGTGCTCGATTGGTCTTCTTGTAGAAGGGGTTACGCGTTTCTGCGGTTTTTTGCCGCATATATCATCCTAAACCCTAAACCTAAACCCTAGTCCCCATATCCTGGGATCTTATAGTGGCAACGCGAACGTTGCCGACGTGGGCGGATCATCAAATGTGTTTTTGATCCTCAACTCGGACCGCAAACTCCGATACAAACAACCATACTGTTAATGATATACATCCTGCATTACTTTAAGGGCCCTAAACTATGGGAATTATGGTATATTTCTTATTAAGGGTAATGCAGGATTGATATCATCAAGCGTAGGGTTTAAGGTTTAGGGTGGCAAACCCGAAGAGAAATGTACAAATGGTCGCAGCTTTTGTAGTTACAAGGCAAATGTCGGCAGATAGGCATGCAGGACGTGTGTGTGTGTGTGTGGCTGGATGACCGCTTCCAGTTCGAGGACCTTAATAAACACTGTGTCTTGGCGGCTTTTGCTTGCAGGCGGATGTTCCTGACAGTTATCTCCTGGACGACGGAACAGGTCGACAGGGCGAAGCAGTGTTGAGAGAACGGAGTTGCATTGCGATCTTTTGCGGGCGGATAGTTGAGAGCCACTGTAGGATAGGGGGTCTTGTTCGATTCATTGCAGATTGGCACAGATCTCTTTAGCCTGTTTTTTGGTAAACCTTCTCGTTAGCATTTCAGCTGCCCTGCATGTAGAGTATTCCACATATCCTGATCGATTCGTGTGTGAAGACTGGCACAACCGTCTCCATCTTGCCAGCCAATCTACCCAAACCCTTAACCCAAAGCCCTAGATGCTAAACCTGAAACCCATGACCCTACAAAACTCGCGCACTCACGCGCCCTAAACCCTAAACCCTAAACCCTACAAGGGTCGCGTGGCGAAGATGGCGTGGCGCACAAGCGATGCACTGCACATGGCGGCTATGCGTTCAAGGTGAACCCGACAAACCCCGACCAATTACGGTTTAGGGTTTAGGGTTACTACTTAGAACAGGGTTTGGGGGGTAAATAAAGAACCCCAAAACTCAGTTCTACGTATTAAGGCCCCTACATTAAACCTTAAACCCTGTCCTTATGATTATAATATACCCCCAAACCCTCTTCTCTAGATCAAGGCCCCTATATTAAAACCCCAAACCCTAAACCCCGAAGTTGAACAGAGTCTGATGTCCACTGGAAATACCGAGACATCCCGAGGCAAGGGGTTTAGGGTTTAGGGTTTCGGGTTTAGGGTTTGGGAGGCAACATGGTGAGTAAGTAGCCCGTGACAGCAAGGCAAAGAGAGCAGGACGTTTGTCACAGATGCCATCGTCCACCATCTGTGTCTGCGGTGGCTCCAAGACATCACGAGCACGCGGGTAGTTCTCTAACTCTAGGACATTTTCAGATGGGTAGTTACGATTATAGGAGCCTTATAGAAGGTCTATATACATTATGGGAGCCTTACAGAAGCCCTATATACCCTAAACTCCCCACCTGTAGTTTCCTAGACCCTAAACCCTAAACCCCAAACCCTAAACCCTAAACCCTAAACCCCCACCTGTAGTTCCCTTTAACTAACTTAGGATCTTCTGAACCCAAAGCCCCGACTCCCGAATGCTAAGCCCCTGACCCTAAGTTTCAAACCTTGAACCCCACGCCCTACTGAGGTCTATAAACGGTGTGCTGAATTACGGTTTAGGGTGTAGGGTTTAGGGTTTAGGGTTTAGAGTTCAGATGCCCTTAGTAAGGCCCCATACTCTACTGAGATTGGGGATAGGGGTGGGTGTGGGGAGTTGCTTGTCTCGCAAGGTAAGCCCAGCACCCTGAAACACCCCTCCCCCTTTGCTTATGAACAAAAACATGGCTTGTAAAGCGCGACCACTGTTTATGAACAGTGGCCCTGTCTGTAAACAACAAGCTTTGCTGATGAGCAAGAACACTTTTTACAACACAACAACCTTTTCGAACAGATCATCATTGCAAACAAAAACACGCTCTGCTATCCAAACCATTTGAATACAAACACGCCTACCAACAGAGAAGAACACACACCTTGACCATCAGCGAAGAACGATTGCCCCTTCGAAAAGGCGAAACCTGTCGATGCACAAACGCAGGTCCTACGGTAGCTCTTTCTGTAAATTAAAGACTTCTACGACCAGACAAAGCCCTCCCATCACTTCAGAAAACCTTTGAATCTAACCTAAACCCGAAAGCACAGACCCTGAACCCTAAGCCGTAACACCGTACCCGTGAGAACTCGAACCTCATTACGCCCCTAAAAGTTTTGTCCGCAAGTGAGGGAAGTTTGACTCCAGGACTCTTGGTTACCTTGTTAGTGTCTTACTGTTTTGGGTCGTGGTTTCCTTTATTTGTAGGCATCTTCAAAGAAGCTTCAGAAACCCTAAACCTTCAACCTTTGCCTGCCTTCAAGGGAACCCTACAGCCTAAAACCCCGACATCCGAACAGAAGGGAGTCTCTGAAAACCCTGAACCCTAAACCCCCAAAACCCCAAAACCCTAAACCCCTAAACCGAAAACCCTAAAACCCTAAACCCCAAAACCCTAAAACCTAAACCCCAAAACCCTAAAACCTAAAGCCCTAAAACCCTAAACCCTAAAGCCCTAAAGCCCTAAGACCCTAAACCCTAAAACCCCTAAAAACCCTAAACCCTAAACCCTACAACCCTAAACCATTAACCCTACAACCCTAAACCCTGAAACCCTCAACCCTAAACCCCAAAACCCTACATGCAAGGGAGTCTCTGACAAGAGGCCTCCGAGCCATCCACCACCTTCTCAGCTTCCGGGACCAGGCAGAGGGGGTTTCAGGAAGAGTGTCTGATAAACCCCTAAACTCCTAAACCCTAAACGGGATTTTAGTGGCTTTTATCGGGAGTCTGAGGACTGCATAAGGGCTCTACGCAAGTAAAGAGGGCTTTGGAGTATGGAGAAGTATGGCGCTGACGAAGTGTCGGGAGCTGGGTTATAAGGTATAGCTCGATTTAGGTCGGCAATTTATCCATAAGATCGTTGGCAGGGAGCGTTTATCTGCGTTCTGTGTTCAGCAGGTTTCTCTAATGTTTCAGGCTTCTGTTTGAATGGCATTTGTATGAGGATATAAGGGGCAGGGGTTCAGCAGAAGCGAAGTTTTACAGGGTGTAGCGTCTGGCGTTCCGGCAGGGTTGACGGTTTCGAGCTTACTTAGGGTGTTGGACTTAGGGTTAAGAACTTAGGGTTTCGGGTTGATGATGTGTGGTCTGATGACGAAACTGTGAACGCAGCTGTGACCAGAACGCGATCTGCCAAAGGCACGGGCGAATCGAAAACTGCCACTCTGGATGCAGGAAGAGAACCCCTTCGTCTTTAGCTGCTGCTTGGCGAATGCCAGCATGACGATTATGAACGTCTCCAAGACATTTCAACATAGCGTCAGCACCAACGAGAGATTCAGCTCCTTTTCGTGGGTCGCGCAATCGAGTCTGGATGCACAGTGACAGGCAGGAGTCAGCAGGTAGAAGGCAGCAGCAGCTGCTGCCAGAGTGGAGTAGCAGTTGTAGTCTTCGTCGTCGTCGTCGTAGTAATCGTCGTTGCCGTCATCGTTATGACTTAGAGCAGCTCGAAGAGTGCGGAGAATCAATCATGCCGATCGGAGATTTTACATTGCCATTGCTGCTGTTTCACTACTACTCGGCATGCTCCAATGTTGTTGGTTGGTGCTGTTTACTTCGTTGGTTGCATTAGCAGTACTACTGCTAGCTTCTCTATAGTTGTTCTTGCCGTAGTTGCCACAATTTGTCGTAGTACCAATCTTGGGCATTTTCAGGTGGGTAGTTACCGGTATAGGAGCCTTATAGAAGGTCTATATACTTTATAGAAGCCTTATAGAAGCCCTATATACCCTAAACTCCCTTTCCTTTAAACCAATACTCCTTCAAACCCCACGCCCCGAACCTAGAAACCTAAACCTCCAAATCGCAGGACTGTAAACCCTAAAGCACTCAACCCTAAAACCCTGCAATCCCCCATGCAACCCCCACAAGTCCCTTGAAGGGAACTCTGACATGAACCCATAAAGGACCTAGCTCCCTAAAGCTCTCTAATGTCCTAGTCCCTGTAGCACCCTTAGAGTAACCCTTGTAGAACCCTTGTATAGTATTCACTTATAGGAACCCTGAATCCCTAAAGCCAGCCCCAAATCCCTTAGCCCTGAAACCCTAAACCCTAGAACCCTAAATCGCTGAATTCTAAATCCTTAAACCCCAAATCCTTAAACTCCTAAATCCCTAAACCCCTTTAAAATCCCTAAACCCCTAAAATCCCTAAACCGCTAAAACCCTCAATCCCCTTATGAGCAGCGCCTCGAGGAGCTCTGGTTCTTTAACCCAGGGGCTTCCGTGGAGTGCGGCTACTGCAACTGCGTCTGTCCGCAGGCACTCGACTCGGTTGAGAGTTTAGGGCTTAGGGTTGAGGGTTAGGGTTTAAGGTTTAGGGTTTAGGGGTTTAGGCTTTAGGCTTTAGGGCTTTCGGGCTTTAGGGATTTAAGGTCTAGGGTTTAGGGTTTAGGTTCGACTCCGGTTTCGGTTCGACTCCGGATGGTTTGGGGCTTGGGGGTTAAGGCTTGGTATTAGGGCTTGGAGAACTGGGTTCAGGGATTAGGATATTATAGGGATTAGGCTTTCGGGTTTATGGTTTGAGTCTGTCGTTCGGGGGTTTAGGGCCGTTTAGGGTTCAGGGTTCAATCCGGGGGCTATGAGTATGTGCGTTGGGGTTTTAGGTTTAGCTTTCCGTTTGGGATTTTGAGTCTTTGGTTCGGGGTTTAAGGTTTGAGTGAATTAGATTTGAGGGTTTATGGTACAAATTGAAGCCCAAAAAGAGTTTTTAGCCGAAAGCTCTACGAACGACATGCTGTCTGACCTAAAGCTATGTGCAGCACGACATTTGATGCCATCAAGACCTTTTGAGCCTGTGGCGATTGCCAGGCGTTTGGCAAGCTGTGCGGAGGAGCAGGCATCGATTCCGGTGTTTGCTGCTGCGGTAAACCCTAACACGAACACCCTAGTTAACGGCGTGGGTTGCAAAGCTTTTGCCGCTGTCAACCTGCAATGTCGAGAGTCAAGAAAGCATCTCGGTCAAGAAAGCATAAAATGCTTGAAAAGTCAGTCATATTCCAGACTTCACGCCAAATAAAAGTTTCAGAATAGCAGGGGGGGAAGAACCCGAACATAGCAGGGTCATTACTATTAAGGCCTAAACCCTAAACCTAATAAAGAAGGTCGCAAAAAGGCGTTCACAAACCCGATAAAGACTAAAGGTCCTTCCCAAGATAACATAGCTTTACAAAAAACCCTTGCTGGTTGTTGCTAAACCCTAAACCCTAACCTGACCACGTCCGAGAAGACGAAGGCGAAGGTAGGTTGAACAGGTAGACCCTCAAAATACCCTTATCAAAGCCACTAGGGTTTAGGGTTTAGGGTATAGTGAACCTTATGGAACACCTACAAGTGCATTTTCAACAAACGATAGTCTAAACAGATAGCTTGTGAATTGGTTTAGTTTTTCCTTTCGCAGTTCCCGGGTCGCCCCCCATGCACCCCGAAACCCATTATACCCTAAACCCTCATCCCGAAGCCTTAAAGCTCACACCCGAAGAATCCCAAGGCCAAATCAGGAACCGGAAGCTTGTAATATAATTTGAAAGACGGAATAGTTTGTCAGAACATGTCTCTTTTGTGTTTTGCCAGATCGTGAGGAGTAGTGTTCCAGGCTTGCTAAATCGCAACCGATTTCTTGTTCCCGGCCGTTTGTGCTCGGGATGACGACCTACAAAGCTCTGTGATTGAAGATGGCCGGGAGCGGTGTCTCCTACTTTTTCTCCGATGTAAAGCGGGTGGGCTGCGACGCCATACCTGGGCGGCGAATGACGGGAAAAACGTTCGTCAAGGGTTTGGCATCGAGCAGCACTTGCTGGACCGGCGCCAAGAATCTTCATTAGATAGTTGCAGGCCACATTCGATTATATGTGATCAGTCGGAGAGTCGTGCCAAGACGGAATTTCATGACTCTGCATTGCATATAGTTGCAGGCCTCATTCGTTCTCCCAGCACGCCTGCTTGCAGTCCGCAGTAACTGCGGTTCCACTGCGCTGTTTCCATTCATGTCTGCGGTCAGGAACTCCATGTCCCAGGAAGACAAGGGGAGGTCTACTTCCAGAAGGCCCGCGACATGCAGAAGGGGGTGCACGAGTTGCGCAAGCAGGTCCTTGAGCCAGAGCCCGTTCCGGTCGCTGTCCCCCCAACGTTGTCATGGCCTGCGGCGTGGTACCCAGCCACCTGGAGGTTGGGTTGCTGGTGGAGAAGGGCTGCGTCAGCCTCGGCAAGTACTTGCGGTGGCATCTTTTGCGCGAGCCGCTGGATCGCAAGAAGGTGCTTCAGGGGTGGCAGCTTTCGCAACTCGGCAGAGAACTTCAGCATATCCATGGTCGCGGTCTTGTTCATGGAGACCCCAAGCCTTCCAATGCCGTAGTGACTCGCCGTAGTGTTCGAGCCGCCGTTGACCTTGAAGTGGTCCGACTTCGTCTTGTGCCATAAGACCAGCGAGAAAGTCCTCAGCGAGAATGTGTACACTGCCGAGTTGATTGAATTTCAACCGGGCTTTATTTGAAGTTTATCGTGTGTCTCAGCCTCAGCAAGGAATTGAAACATTGTCATGCTTTGCGTTTCTGGGGCTTGAACTTTGGCCCTACCCGTCATGCCTTCCAGCCTGCAGCAGCTGACACCGTGACGTGTGGAATCTGAGCGGAACTGAGGTAAGGAAATGGTAGCGGTGACCCTGCATCCCCGTCAGTGCTCTTGTCCAGAGCATGCTTGCCCGGGGTATGCAGCTTTGCTCGGCAAGCGCTACGGGGCAAAGCAGCTCCTGATTGAGCAGGAGTGGATCGCTGACTTAGCGTTTGCGGCCGGCATGTACAGATGCAGCTGGATCGCTGGGGACGCTTATCCCTGCGGCTTGCGGGAGTGGCCCTGTGTGAGCACCTGGTGGACCACACTCGCTGCCACCCTGCGATGAAAAAGGTCGGTGCGTCCAAGCTATCAGCCTATAGGCAATTAGCTTCCTTCGCCATCATCGGCAGAAGCATCATGAAAGCTTTCGTGGTCACTGCACGAGAATTTGTTTGCCCGTCAGATTGCATTCGGGCTATCTAGACGACAAGATACGGGAAAGGCATACCGCTGAGTTCATGTTTCGAGAGCAACGTTGTGAGGTCGCTTTCCGAGACAGTGCATTGAACAGGCCTCGCATGTCCAGTCCGACTTCCGTTGGCGCCATTCGGCCATTGACAATACCTCTGTAGCCTGCGATATCGCAGGCAACAGTTTCTGAGCATTTGCGAGATCGTCGAGCCCTGCCCATCACAACAAAGTCATGACAATCAACTGTCATTGAAAATTGCTTGCTGCGGAGTGAAAAAATCGGGTGCCGTGAATCTTATCCCTACGCGTAAAAGGTTCATAATATGAACCTTACATCCTAAACCTTAAACCTAAACTCTAAACACTAAACCTTAAACCTAAACCCTAAATATGGAAGCCTGCATATTTGGCTCTGGCGTGGTTGAGAGCGCTTGAGGTTCCTAAGAAGTCAGCTTGCTTTGTTTTTGCGAACATTTGAATACTTGCGAATGCTGACGAACGATCTATTCAAGGGGCCGAGTGTTGGGGTTCCTACTGTAAGCACAGCACAATATTCCCCAAAACCCAATTAGAATACCCTTATATGAAGCATCCTTCCACCTGTGAGGGCGATCGCAGTTTGCGCAGACGGAGTTCGTCTGCGCGGGCCTCTGTGACCATGCTGGCGAACTCTTGACTCTGTTTGGTGACGCAAACAACTTCTGCCGTAAGCCCACCAGAATCCGTGCCGCCATGGTCATGTTAAACTTGAACATGGCGCTCGTCATGATATGAGAAAAGCGGCAGCACCAGCAGCAGCAATCACGGCTGCACAAGTGTCACCAGCCGCCACAGCAGTAACATCAATGACGGCGACAAGAGCATGCAGGGTAACGGTGGTCACGATAATGGAGATGTCGAAAAAGACGGTGATAGGTGTGGCAGTGGTCGAGTGGTTGTAATGATTCAGTGGTGATGATGATGAAAAGAAGAACAAGATGGTGATGCAGATAAACGATGACAATGACGGTGACGTGGCAGCAACTGGGATGTGATGGTAATGGTGGCGGTTCTGGTTTCGACGAGTATCGCTTTTGTGAGAATGGCGACGTGTAGCCACGGGTTGAGGGAGTTCACAATAGAGGGGCCGAAATAATTAACTTAACATTGTTGCCTAGGGTTCCCTGTTCTAACTTGTTAGCTTGCTCATTACGTGGAGTTCGTGTTTGCAGCTGTTGCTTCTTGCAAGCAATAACAGAGGAGGTGTTTGCCCGTAAAGCCCATGACAGCTTTACAATCATACCCTTTCATCTCCAGCGAGCTCCAGTTCCTTTTTGTTTCGAGCAGTTATAGCCTGGTGGACTTTAGACATTGTCCGCTCGAGGGATTAAATAAACCCCAAGCCCCTAAACCCAAAAACCCAAAACCCTTAATCCCAAACCGCAACCACACAACATCTGAGGCCACAGATGCACAATGCAGATGGGCATGGACCAGGACCAGGACCATCTGGCTGGGTTCAGGGTTTAGGGTTTAGGCCTAAACCTTAAATCCCAAAGCAAGACCCGAAGTTGCACCAAGTGATTGCGTGTCCGGTTGCCGTTCGCCAGATCAGGGTAGCATAGGCGTCGGCCAATGTTATTTTTCAGGCTTCGGTTATAGTATGATCAGCCACAAGCCCGGTGACAATTATTCAGGCGCCTATACGACTTGAGCTTCACACATTTGAAGCAGGATGCTACGACGTACAGATGAGACTAGACAAAACAGTTTGGGGATTAAGGTTTTGGAAGCCCCAAACCCTAAAACCCCTAAACAATAAACCCTAAAACCTCTTAAACCCTCTAAGACCCCTGAAACCCCCTAAACCGAAGTTTAGGGTTCGGGTTTAGGGTTTAGGGTCCCTAAACCCTAAACGCTACATCCCAAAGCATTGAAGGGAGATCGCTCCCTAAGGCTCCGCATATCCGGGACTCCCAAAACGGAATCTTCGAGCGCGGAGAGCCCAATACCCCTGTTTAATTTAGGGTTTGGGGTTCAGGGTTTAGGGTCCCTTTAAAGGCTCCTTTTAAGTGGCGTATCAGGGGTGTTGCATAGAGCCTGACTTAAAAGGGGCTTCGCCTTATGGTTTAAGCTGTATTCCTTAAATTAAGAGGTATTGGGCTCTCTGGGAAGAAGGCCGTGTCTCAGCTCATTTCGGGGCAGGATATTTTTTGCGGCTTCAGGCCTTCGATGCTACAAGGGGCCTGGGCGCAGAACGGACGAGGCATTCGAGACGCCAGGCAGAGGAGAAGACTAAGGGGACACACCCCGAGTGCTCGCAGACGTGAGTCAAGAGCGATTGGTTGCCCAGTTAAAGCACGCGAAGCCCTAGACCCTGAACCCAACGATAGTTCATGAAATGAGACAAACCTTGCGGCTTCCCCAATAGGCATATTCCGCAATTGAGGGGTGTTTCAAGTCATAGACTTTTGTCACTTCTTCTCGACAGGCTAACAACCCAGGGAGCCAAAGACGCCTTAATTAAGGAATACCGCTTAACTCCTAACATTACGCCCCTTATGATTTAAAGTATGTTCCTTAATCAATGGGTCTTGCGCTCTCTGGGTAGTACTTGGAGGGTCGGGGGACTTAGTATCTAGTTAATTTATAGACTTATAAGTACCATAACCCCAATTAGTACCCCTTTTAGGGTACTTCTAACTCTACTTAACATCTACTTACTAAGTCCCCCGACCCTCCAAGTAGGCCCTAAACCCTAGACCCTAAACCCCAAACCCCAAACCCCAAACCCTAAACCCTAAACCGTGGGGGGGGGG